CGCCCCGCCGCAGTCGGGAGGCCTTTCCCCGGAGAAGATGGCGGATCGGGCGGAGATGTTCGCGCTGGCCACCTTCCACTCGCTGTCGCCGCCCGGCTGCAGGTAGGCACCTGGGCGCCCGGGCCGCGGCGGGCGCCTCGCCTGGCTGCAGCCCAGCCCGCCGGTCCCCTTCACCCACCCCCACGGCCTTTGCGGACCCAGCACCAGTCCCCTCCCCCTCCGCAGGCCTCGGGCTCCCGCTCCCCTGCAGGGTCTCCCCGTTGTTGCCCTCATTCTGCAGCCCCGGTGACCTGAGCAGCTGTCGCATCTCCCCTCCCCCATCCGCCGCTTGGCCCAGCGCCGCGCCCAGCCTGCCCAGGGCCGAGGCCCCGGCCTGAGCCTCCGTACGCAGCCCGTGGGCAGCATGGTGGGCGTCCACTCGGTGCCCAGTGTCCTTGTGGGCCCGCGCGGCCTCCCCTGGTGGGGGCCTGTGGCAGAACCCGGGTGGGAGGTGTTGAATTGCAGCCTGCAGCCTTGGGGGAGGGGAGGGGGTGGGGAGGGCTGGAGCCCTGCTGTGGGCCAGGCTCTGCCCCCGGAGCAGCCGCCCCTCCCTCCAGCGGCTGCGGCCTCAGCCCCCCTCCCCCCTGCTCCTGGCGCAGTGGGGCTCCCCTGGGGCCGGGGCTGTGAGACCCAGAGGGCCGAGGGAGCGGGGAAGGGAGGAGCAGCTGCTGGCTCTGTGAGGGAGGAGGGTGGCTGCCTCTGGGGCTGGTGTAACGCAGTGGGGGAGGGCAGCCGGGGAGCAGAGCTTGGGGTTCAGGTTGACGTCAGGATGTGTGTCTGGAAGCAGGGGGCTCTGGAGACCACAGCCTGGAAGCTGGGCTTCTCCCTTGGCTCCCCCTCAGGAGCAGCCCCTGGGCTGGAGTCCAGGCTTGGTGGCTCTTGCAAGAGCCCTGTCCTTGCTCTCTGACCCTGGGCTCCTCTCCAGGGCCCCTCAGGACATAAGCCTGGAAGAATTTGATGATGAGGATCTGTCTGAGATCACCGATGACTGTGGCCTTGGTCTCAGCTACGACTCAGACCACTGCGAGAAGGTGGGGAGGGGCTGAGCCCACAGGGTGACCAGGGAGGGGTCTCAGGCTGTTTGGAGTTCACTGGAGTTTTGGGGGGCAGGTCTGATCTCAACCTTGGGAGCTCCCCTCACTGCCCCCAGGCTGCTTAGCCTCTAGCCTGGGGCTTTCTGGTACCCAACCTCTTTTCTAACAGCAGAAGCAGGCCCTCTGTTGAGGGCCCACACAGCAGAGAAGCCCCTGGCCCAGCAGGCCTTGTGTGGCTGCCATCACTGGCAGCCAGAGGAGGAGAAGGGTACTTTAGAGACCAGATGCCACTGCCCTTAGTGCTCAGGTCATTCCACAGAAAGATCTAGTGGCTTCCAGTGGCCATCTCATTGCATCTGTCCCCTCCCTACCTTTCCTTCCAGCCTCTGTACCTATCCACCTTCTTAAATCTTTTAATTCCCCCATCTCCTCCACTTCCCTGTCTCTCCACATCTCCTCGGTTTTGTTCACGAACATGTCTGAGCTATGGGGCAGGTACTGGGTACTTCTGGGTGCTAGGGAGCTGAACGTGGCAGGTGTGGCCCTGGCCCTCATGACAAGGGAGACAGACATGTAAGGGACAGAGACTGCTCACATGTCAAGGGCTGGATTCCAGTAAGGGTGCACAAGGTGCTATGAGGGTAGGGAGCCAATGGACACTGAAAAAATCAGGAGGACTTCTCAGAGGAGGGAGACCTGCAGGAGCCAGGCAAGAGGGGTGGGGGGAAGGGAGGAGGAGCGAGGCCCAGGCCGAGGTTGGTGCAGGTTGTGTCCCTTCATTCCTGCTGTGGATGCTGAACCACCGCCGTGCAGTGGGTTCTGTTCTCCGGGCTGGGGACACAACTTGGACACAGCCCTACCCTCCTGGAGCCTGCAGTCAGTGAAAACTTGTATTCTGAGAAGGAAGCAGTCACTGTTGAACAGGACAGGTGCGAGGCTGTCAGGGAGGTGAGGCAGGTGTGTGGGGACCACAGGCCAGGCCCTTTCCCAAGAACCCTGTAAGCTTTCACCCCTCAATGTGGTGGTGGACAGAGAGCGCTGGAGTGGGCTTTGCCCGTCTGTTGCTCATCCCTTTTCTGTGACCCGGGACCCTGCGTGGCCACCTCGCACTCTGGCCCAGTTCTGCGTTGCCCTTCTTCCTGCAGGACAGCCTCTCCCTGGGGCGCTCGGAGCAGCCGCACCCCATCTGCTCCTTCCAGGACGACTTCCAGGAGTTTGAGATGATCGATGACAATGAAGAGGATGAGGAGGAGGAGGAAGAGGAGGAAGAGGAGGAGGGAGATGGGGGCGGGGAGGAAGGAGGCCTCGGTGGCTCCATTGCTCCTGCCCCGGACCAGCCCCTGATCCCCTCCCCCTCTACCAACGAGCCCCACAAGCACCGGCCCACCACGCTCCACTTGACGGCCCTGGGAGCGCAGGTGAGCGGCGACCCCCGGAACTCGCCAACCTGGGCCCCCGCGGCCTGCCCGTCCCACCCTCAGCGCTGGTCTCTGCCCCCCAGGACTCCCTGAACAACAATGGCGACTTCGCCCCCGCCCCGCCGGCCTCCGGGCCGGAGACGCTGCTGTGCAGCCCCCCCAAGGCGACGCTCGGAGGTGAGAGGCCGGGGAGGGGGAGGGGCGGGGAGCGGAGGGGAGGGG